AATCCAAATTGAGCATCAAGTCCTGCAGTGTGAACGTAGCCAATCTGTGGGATTGTTCAGTCAGATAATACGCCGTCATCCTGATTGGTGACATAAAATGTCATGTTGGAGTCAGAATCCAAAGCTGTCGCTATGTTAAGACTGTTTTTCATGGGTTCTGTTTGTTTTTTCTAAAAACATGTCGGATAGCAAGGTTTAGGATTGTTAAGGGTCGGATTATTGAGTCACGACTGTACTAGACTTTTTTTTTTTAAGTTCGGCTGGATAAACACATGAAGCTATGACTTGTCAGCATGACTCCACTCACCCGTATGAGCTTTGCAACATGGCTCTTTCCACTCCCGGGAAGCCCTCTCATTATGATGACAATCTGTTAAAATACAGAGCCTCAATGAGTACTTCATATTACACACTTATATGATATGTTTGTCAGTTAACGTTGCAGCAGTAATTCGTACCCTTTCAGGCCGAGATAATCTGCCAGGTGGTTTAAGGATATCGTCGATGTTCTTGATTTCCGGCTTCTTCTCGACTCTTGGAGGCGGCTGCGCTGGAGGTGGGAGGGCTGGTGCAGTGGGAGGCCCTCTGTCTTCTGGGTAAGTTCTTCTGTCCACTGTACGACATTCAAAAACTTCTCTAAATTCTATTTCTTTCATTTATAAAGCTACTTTGCTAGATTGTCCCCACAAATACCATCATCGTCTTCGTCATTAACAGAACTTCATTGAAATGTTTTACACTTGAGTCATAGGTCTACTTCTAAAACACAGATATAAAATGTGAATATTGGGTTTTCTAACAGATACGATGTGTTCAACATACTGTAAGGTGAGGAGCTATGGCTGAAACGCTCAGGCCCGCCGCGGTCAAGTCCAGCCCGCTCATATGGAGGTCTATCGTAAGCAGGTCTTCCATAATGTTCATCTGCATCGCGACTTCCACTTCGGTCCCGCTCTCGAACATCCCGGTCTCGCTCCCTGTATCCTGAGCGTAGAGGAGGCGCCAGCGGAGATCTATGGGAGGAAACGGGTATTATTAGGTTTAATTTCTTCAACTGAAGTTCTTCTTTCACACCAACACACTCGACTAATCACAATGCAAGGCCCAATGTGATATAGTACCTTTCTTCAACCATGGACTGTGTGCTTGAATCAAGAACAGACAAATAGAAAACCATATTACATAAGTAAAGAAGCAGCGCACATCCCCACAGGTAAGGGTGTCAAAGCCACTGAAGAAGCATCTTACCTGTCATCTCTATCTCTTGGTGGGGGATAGCGCTCCCTTTCAAATCTTTCTCTTTCATATTCAGGTGGAGGCTTCTCTCTGTACAATTCCCTCTCTCTGCTGTACTCCCGGCGGTCCAGGTAGGGGTCTGATCGCCTTTCATAGTACGGGTCTCTGCTATAAGGATCTCTGAGACGAAGAGGTTCTGGGAGAATAAAAACTTCATCAATCAACTGTGGATGGAAAAACTGCAAAAACAAGTTCAGTTAGTCTATAATAATGTACGCCATTACAAAACTGAAACTAACCTTTTTCATAGCCTCGGTCTGCTGGCACTGGATCAGGCCTCAACACAATCCTTTCACCGTAAGAAATCCGCTCAACAGTAGTTCCGGGCTCTAAAACATTAAGCGGTAATCAACACCAATCACCAACAACGTCAGAACTGTTGAAATGATAAATTATGATGCACATACAGCTGAAACCAGACGTTTACATTCACTGTAAAAAAAAAAAGAAAAAAAGGCTTTCTGGCATTAAGTCAGACTAAACTTTCCTCTTTTAGGTCAGTGACGATTACCAACATTATTTATATGTTGTATTTGCTAAATGCTAGAATAATGAGAGAGAGATTTTGTTTTTAAGTCAGAAGTTTACATCCACTAAGATGCCTTCAAACTATTTGGGAAAGTCCAGGTGATGATGTCATGGCTTTGGAAGTTTCTTATTGGTTAATTGACAACATCTGAGTTAATTGGAGGCACACCTGTGGATGTATTTTAAGGCACACCTCTAACATGCTGCTTCCTTTTGTGACAACATGGAAAATCTAAAGAAATCAGCCAAGACATCAGGAAGAGAATCATGGACCTCCACAAGTCTGGTTCATCCTTGGGTTCAATTTCCAGATGCCTGAAGGTTCCACGTTCATCTGTTCAGACAGTTATATCAAGTATAACCACCATGGGAATGTCCGGACATCATAGCGCTCAGGAAGGAGAACTGTTTGGTCTTAATGACCATCGATACATTTGGAGGAAAAAGGGGGAAGCTTGAAGCCTGAGAACACCATCCCAACTGTGAAGCACGGAGGTGGCAGCATCATCCTGTGGGGGTGTTTTGCTGCAGGCGGGACTGGTGCACTTCACAAAACAGATGGCATCATGAGGAAAGAACATTATGTGGAAATATTGAAGTAACATCTCCAGACATTAGCAGGAAGTGAAAGCTTGGGCACTAATGGGTCTTCAGATGGACAATGACCCTCAGCATACTGCTAGATTAGATACAGAGAGGGTTCAGGACAACAGAGTCAGTGTTGTGGAGTGGCCATCTTAAAGCCCTGATCTCAGTCCTGTAGAAAGTTTGTGGGCAAGGCAGCTTATAAACCAGACTTAGTTCCACCAGTTCTGTCAGGAGGAATGGGCCAGAATTCATCAAACTATTGTGAAAAGCTTGTGGAAGGAAACCCAAAATGTTTGACCCAAGTCATACAGTTTAAAACCAATGCTACCAAATACTAAGGAAATGTATTTAAACTTCTCACTTTGAAGAAAGTAACAAAAAAAATTCTCTTTAAAATTCCCTCCCTCATAAGAAATAAAAATAATCTTGGTAATCCTCACTGACCTAAAACAGGAAACGTTCAGTCATGTTCAATGTCAGATAGTGACAGATTGTGTCTTTTTATACAGTGTATGTAAACTTCTGGTTTCAACTGTATTTTCTGCTCATACCATGTCCATGCCCATAATCAACAGTCTTTGGGATCATTGAAGGTATGGATGCAGAAGGGAGAGATGGATGGTAATCTGTTGCAGGTTTGCTGTCCCAAGATGCTGGTTCATTTGCAGTTGTCTGTGCTGCTACACTCATACCCTGAGGATGACAGATTTGATTTGTTATCAGGGTCGAGGAGTAAAATTACACAATTGCGAAACTCTGGGAGTAACAATGTCTGTTGTTAGAAATTCTGTGTAGGGGGAAAAAAAAAAGTCTACAAGTGCCACACAACCCAAACATGTGGTACTTATACTATACTACTACTAATAGGGCACAAATTTAAGTGTTAGTAATTGTCCATTACCTTCAGAACATTCCTGACATCTTGTGGGATCTCCAAATTAAGAAGTCCAGTTGGTAGTTCTGGCATCATCTCAGTTGGTGTAGGCTGAGGTTCAGTACCAGGCGTCTTCGCCTCCTGCAATTCCCTGTGGGCACAATATAATGGAGGTTAAATTCACTAGTAGGTAATATTCTAGCAAAATTGCACAGATAAAACTAATTACACAGGCAGGACAGCTGATTTTTTTCAAAACTGTATACAAACATGATTTATTACATTTTATTTTATCTGCCACCATGGCAGAATTCTGTAGTGGTTAAAAGCTTCCAACTAGTACCACATGAGCAGGTATTAAACTGATTAAACCTGGACAATATTCCAGGACGTGACACATTTGGCATAAGAAACCCTTGTCAAACTCAAATATGAATCTCAGGATTTTCTTGTGCCAATCACTGAATAGCTGTTGACATCAAGTTATTAGTAATTGATATATAATATGTAGTTCAAAACACATGGTTTTTACTTCATCTGTTCCTGAAATTTATTATGTAGTGAGCCAAAGTTTGTGGCTAACAGTAGGTGTCAGCGGCAAAGAATGGCTACATAATTCCTAACATGTGTTAATTAGTAGTCAAAGTCTAGAAATTACCTTATTAATTTAAGCTCTTGAGCAGCTTTTAGGATGATCTCATGCTGACGCTGGGAGAGGGCAAGTACATTTGCTCCAACCGGTCCATGGGGTGCAGGTTCAGCTGAACTTTCAGGCAAATTTGTGACAGGTGCAGCAGGTGGTGCATGTGGCATTTCTAAAGGAAGTTTTTCCCTAGTCTCCTCATAGCGAGCTCGAGGATCTTGATAGTCAGGAGGATACCCTCTATCTGGTGGTGGAGGAAGCCTGGAAGGCCTTTCCCAGTCTGACGGGGTTGGGTATGGGGGCTCATCTTGCCGGTATGGTGGCTCATCCCTGTATTCACGAATCCTAAGCTCTCCTCGTCCCCTGTCACGTTCCTCATATGAATACTGGGGACCTCTTTCTCTTTCCTCTTGCCATCGGCCATCCCTAAAGGGCTCTGGCGGTGGCATTCGGGGAGGATAGTCCCTCTCAGGAGGAGCATGTTCTCTGTCCCACTCAGAGTCAAAGAATTTGCCATCACGACGATAGTCATCAGAAGGGTAGTCCTGTGGTGGCCGCCAGTGATACCCATCTTCCCCATGATCATAATCCACAGCGTAACCTTCGCTATATCCTTCTTCATATTCCTCATGTCTTGGACCTGGTCGCCACATGCCCCGTGCCATTCCTCGACCCATAGGTCTCCTCCTTATCCCTCCTCTATCCATCATCTCATGTGGAGGTGGTGGTGGGCCTCTGCCATGTGGTGGTTGCCAACCTAATTCTTGCTCCCTTCCTTCATCGTACAATGGCTCTTCTGTGGGATCTATCATTTCGTGAGGTGGTGGCGGCACACGACGCCTGCCTCTTCCTGCATCAGGATGCATTGGATGGCTATGAGGGTCATGTCCATGGTACATAGGGTGCATTGATGGATCCATTTTGGTCTCATCACCATCCATGCCATGGCCTAATGCCTCGTGATCCATTGGTCCATGTGGTGTGTGAGGGGGACGGCCACGCCCTGGGTGCATGAAACCAGGGTGGCCACGAGGGGGGCGACCCCGGCCAGGTGGAAATGGGGGTCTCATGCCTCTCATTGGAGGTCTCCTTTCTCTCCAGTAAGGGTCCCCCTCCTCCGAGTACTCAGTTGACTCTGGCTCTTCCCAGTGCCTGTCCATTGGCTCTCCTCTTCCAATAGGTGCTCCTCCTCTTCCCATGGGCGGACCACCTCTTCCCATTGGGGGGCCTCCTCTACCCATAGGTGGCCCACCTCTACCCATGGGTGGACCTCCTCGCCCCATAGGAGGTCCCCCTCTACCCATGGGTGGACCTCCTCGCCCCATAGGTGGTCCACCTCTCATCATTGGTGGCCCTCCTCTTCCCATAGGATGACCACCTCTACCTATAGGTGGACCTCCTCTCATCATTGGGGGTCCACCTCTCATCATTGGGTGTCCGCCCCTACCCATGTGGGGTCCTCCTATTGGCTCTTCATAATACTCTTCCTCTGGGAAGTGATGCTCTTCTGGCATCCACATTTCTTCAGGAGGAACCTCTGATTCCTCACCACCAAACTCCTCATATGATGGGTCTTGCCAGTGATAGTCGTCTTGCTCCTCTGTCATCCCCAAGTTCTCTTCAGCTCTGTCATATTCATAAGGCATTTCTCCTATTTCCTCCCCAACTGGCCCAGCGTTTGGTCCCCCAAACTCTCCACACGGCCTCAACCCACGTCCTCGACCATGTATTTGGACAGGCAAGGGGGGCTGGCCTCGCCCCCTACCAGGGCCAGGCCTTAGAGGCTCTGGTCGTGACTGCATTTGGCCAGGACCTTGAGGCTCTGATTGGATTCCAGATGACTTTGGAATCATTGGTGGTTTGCTGCTTGACAACGATCCATCTGGTTTGGGGGGATTTTGTGCAGGTGTTTTTGAGACCACATTGGAAGGAGCCTCTACAGAAGGCTTGCTATTAACAGGTTGGGATTTCTCATTATTATCAGAAGTGTTTTTGCCATCTGATACCTGAGGTTCAGTGCTTGTTTTTACTGTCTGAGGAATAGGGTCATTTTGGACAAAAAAGCCCTCGTTTTCAAGCAAGTTGTCATCTGTCATGTCTTCAGCACTGGTCTTATCAACGGGTTCCAATTCACCTTTTTCTTTTTCAGACTGTGACTGACTTATTGATTTTCCCTGTGTCTTGGTTTCTACACTAGCAAGCTGTGGAGTGCCTGATTCTGCCTTAGGTTGGGGACCTTGCTGAGGTACGGGTGGACGTTCAAAACGAGGTGAAGGGCCAGCATGCCTTGCAGTCTCAAACCTAGGCTGTTGCCCAAATCGAGGTTGGTCAAATCTAGGGGGTCCATCAAAGCGCTGCCTTGGTGTGTCAAATCTGGGGGGACCATCAAAGCGGTG